TGTGCAGTCCATGTTCTGATGGTGTTGCATGTTCAGGCTTAAGATGGCCACGGCTGCTGTCGTTGGGCTTAGTGCTGGCAAAGGGCTTTTGAGCTCCTCTTTCTATTATTCTGATCTCACCGAAAGGCTCTCTTATTCTACTGGGGAACAGCATCAGATTTCTCCCTCAAAGAATGTGATTGTTGCAAAAGCTAATTTTAATCAACGAGGATCATCAGTCAAGGCTCTTAAAGAATGTGTAGATGGTGCGACAATTCCTCCGATTACTGAACCATGGATTTCAAGATCTTCTCCTGTAGAAGAGGAGACTTTGGATCCTGAAACTCCACTGGAAGCTCTACTTTTACTTCAAAAGTCTATGCTTGAAAAGCAGTTGGAGTTATCCTTTGAACGCACTGGTACGAATGATGTGCTTAGGGAGAATAATTCTAAGGAGCGTGTCACATCATCAGGAACCCCAGCTCGAGTACGAAGGATAAATGCTAGGAAGAGAAGTCAGGGAAAGAAGATATCCACAAAAGAAAGCAAGAGAGAGAAGCCTCTAGTGACTACCGTAAGTCCTGAGCTTCTCCAGAATCGTTCGATAGGGTATGTGAGAGGTATGACAAACGATGTATTGCTGACTCATTCCCAAGTTGTGAATTTATCTCGAAAGATTGAAGCTGGTCTATCCTTGGAGGAGCATAAATCAAGGTAGCTAATGTTTCTACCACTAGTTGTAAGGTTTCTTATGGACTGTAGTTTTTACAAACTGTTCACAATATATTGCTTGAGACGGCTAAATACACTGGCCTTTGTTCCAACTCACATGTAGCTAGGCTGGAAAAAAGCTTGGCATTTCCTATAGGATTGTACTTTTTTTCAACAACATTATTTCTCGAATGATCTTCATGTCTCAGTTTGAGATTAAATATAAATGTCAATGAATATTATAATAAAAAACTGTATCTCCTTAGGTAATTTCAGAACAGTCTATATTAGCAATTAGGGGTCATTGTTGCTGCTTGCAACAGTAGTTTGTTCATGTCATCTATGCTGCAACTTTTCTACTGAATTTATGAATTTTTTTTGGTAATCTTTTGATTGTCTTTTCAGACTGAAAGAGAAACTAGGGTGTGAACCTTCTGATGAGCAACTTGCGAACTCCTTAAGGATGAACCGTGCTGAAGTAAGATCCAAACTAATTGAGTGTTCGCTGGCCAGAGAAAAATTGGCTATGAGCAATGTACGCTTGGTCATGTCAATTGCTCAAAAGTATGAGAACATGGGTGCTGACATGGCTGACCTTGTACAGGTGACTTTCTTTCATGAACTTAGGCCTAAATTTTGCTTATGTAATGCTTCATTTAGTACATCATCAGCACTCATGTGAAATTCATCAAAAATTCAATGTAGGGTGGATTGATTGGACTACTCCGTGGAATTGAGAAGTTTGATTCCTCCAAAGGGTTCAAAATTTCAACATATGTTTACTGGTGGATACGTCAAGTAAGTGGATTACTCATGTTAGTTGCCATGTAGATTACTCATGTTAGTTGCTATGTAGCTCTCCAACCCTTATTATGCTGTTCTTTAGAGAATAAATCTGCTTTTTCTGATGGAAGTTGATGGTGGATAACTTAATACACGTGTTGAGTTTTTCTGCTTATCTTGGAGTACAAATATCCATTTAACTACTTGTACAGAAGTAATACAGAATTCTAATGGATCAATTGTAGATTATACACTTGAATACCTACTTCGAGATATAGTTAATTGAAGAAGCTGTATATCTACCTGTCAATTCTACTGCAGAATTTACTGGCTATGTTTATCTTCTCCTCCTGGTTTCACTCTAAGGTTTGACTTCTTCTTCAGGGTGTTTCCAGAGCACTAGTGGAAAATTCAAGAACTTTGAGGTTACCTACTCATCTCCATGAAAGACTAAGCTTAATTCGCAGTGCAAAAAATAAACTTGAAGAGAAAGGGATAGATCCATCAATTGATGTAAGCTCTTCTCCTTTAATGTATTTGATGAAGATATATATATTTTTTTGTTTTTTTTTTTTTTTTTTTTTTTTTTTTTTTTTTTTTTTTTTGTGTGTGTGTGTGTGTGTGTGGTATATATCACTAATTTTTCCCATGATACTTTTGTTTATAATTAGAAGAGTACAACTTGAAATGAATCCCTTATTCCCTTATGTTTACTAATTTTAACTAGTAGCTAATTAATACTCGTTACTTTGCAAAATTTTAAAAAATTCTGTTACATATTGTGTTAACCTTCTGAACTTTTTGCAGAGAATTGCTGAATCTTTAAACTTAACTCATAAAAAAGTTCAGAATGCTACAGAGGTTAGTATCAGTTGCTGTAATTAATATAAGGCATGTAATGTGGTGTTTTTCTCTTGCCTTGTTCTTATTCTTACTTATAATTGGTGCAGGCTGTCAGATCTGTCTTGTCATTGGACAGGGAAGCCTTCCCTTCTTTAAATGGACTCCCAGGAGAGACTTATCATAGTGTAAGTATATTCTGATAAACGATGCAGTCATGCTCTTCGATTAGACCCTTATCTAATCACTTGATTTTCTGATCTGAAGTTATTTTTCTCCGTCAAACAGATTTCTATGTTTAAAATCTAGCTGATTTTCACTTATTCACTAGTGTTTTTTGTTACACGCAATTACTCATTGCCACATATAAAAATTGATTTTTACCAGTTAATACTGCTTTTTTTTAATTAAATATTAAAAAATTAAGTTGAAGTTAATACTGCTTTTTTTATTTAAATATTAAAAAATATTAAAAGATCCTTAGAGATGTTAAATTTTACTTTTTCTTGGTTGATCTGATTTTTATTGTTAATAATCTTAACAAATTGTTTTCCTTGGCTGTCAGTATATTGCGGATAATCGTCTCGAGAATAACCCATGGCATGGTGTAGATGAATGGACACTCAAGGTATTTACATCTGATTAAACAATGTGTGTCATGTTTCTGAAATACCTGTTTGTCCTTATCTTTACAATAGTCTTAATGGCATCACCTCTATTGATCAATCCAAAACTTCAGGTTGCACTTACTAGCTTTTTCTTGGTTCTAACTCATTATCTAACTTTAAAAAGGAATGATAAAAACAAAGGATAAATGTGTGCTGGTTAAGTAAATTTGAGAATGAAGAGCAAATATTGAACACTAATTTATATCTTGAACAATTTATTTGACCTGTTCATCAATTGAAATTCTTCCATGTTAGTTGGCTTTGAATGGTATTACTTCACTTGTATGGGTTATATTGCTTTTGACCCTTTGTTAGCCTGCTATCTTGTTGTAAATCACACTTCTTAATTTGCTTTCTTGTAGAATAATGATCAGATATCATCTAGCAATGCTAGTGTCTGCTATTGTAATGCATGTATTCTCTTCAGAAGCCGCATTAGTCTAACATCGGAGGCAATTTGAGTTAAAAGTTTTGAACTGTATGAGAATCATATGTTTACAGAGATATGCATATTACACTTTAAGGTCCTTATACCCATACCTCCAGTGCTCATGGCTTCTTAAAATCTATTCATAAGATCATTGAGATGTATACTTTCATTTTTCACAGTTATTAACATAATGACTTCCCTTCTTTACAGCAAGACGTAAGCAATCTTATAGACTCCACACTCAGGCAACGAGAGAAAGCTATAATACGTCTTTACTATGGCCTGGATGAAAAATCTCTGACTTGGGAAGAAATCAGCAAAAGGTGAGGTGGAATATACATCATTCTTATTAGCTCACTCTCTCCCTCCTTGATTCAGAGTTTTAGGCTTTGTTTTCTTCAATCTTCGTGTCTCTCTTACGTTAACTCTTTGGGTCAGAGGGAGTATGTTATTTAAACTCAATCCTAACTTCTAAATCTCCTTTTTTTTTTTTTCTTAATTCCATACATAACTTGATTTCATTTGCTAAATTGCTATATTACATGGCATATGTTCTGTTTTCAGGATTGGTTTGTCAAGAGAAAGAGTCCGGCAGGTTGGATTAGTCGCGTTGGAGAAACTAAAACTTGCTGCAAGAAAGCGAAGGATGGATGCCTTGTTGGTGAAACACTAGTACGGCATACAATTCGTAGTCTATTGTAGATCGTATCGACTGTATATATATGAAGTATATAACAGAAATGAACATCACATTCACTTCTTACAGTAAGTCGAAGTTTTCCGTCAGGGGAGGCTTACACTTGAACACTTCCTATTTTCAAGACAATTTATCCACTGTTTCTGAGATTCAACAAGATTGTTGTATAATGTATAGTTGTATGTAAGGGGGTCACTGCACAACTACTTATGCTTTCTGTATTAATACAAGATCTTTTTTCCTAATATAATAGAAGCATATTATATATATATGATTATATACATTCTGCCCTTTTCTTATCTTGATACAAAGATGGTTGGATACTTGTATGTTTTTGCATCTGGATATGCTATTTTGTAGTAATTATCCCGGTGTTAAGGGAAGTCTCTGATATCTTAAGGCCAAATAAAGCCTACTGTGAAAGTCTCTGAACTACTTATTGTGAAGCTGCATGTTGTGAGATTGGGGTGACTTCTTATGCAGTATTTTCTTTAAAGCTTCGAGTTTCAATTTTTAATGTCACACAATACGTTAGTGTGAAACAGTCTCATCTAAGTCTGTTCATAAATTAGCCCGAGAAGGTCTCCACCAAGACTTTCCGTTTAACAGTTGTAGTTTGGTCCTTGGTCCATACATTAATTTGTTTCATATAGACAAAAATCGCAAAAATTTAAACACAATTACATAAAAATTAAAATTGACCCGATTACACGAACACTTAACACGATAGTTGGCTAGGCAACGTAACAGCATTACTACATTACATATCAAGCTTTTTATTTGTAACGAACGTACACTTGAAAGCTAGTTAAAGTTCCATTAACAATTTGTTTAGGCTTAAGTTTTTAGTCCTGTGACTTGGCTTTATCTTGAGGATCAACAGCATCCTAGTTTAGACAGGATGAGGGCAGCACCTTTGGCAGATACCGTTGTAGTCACGACGACCGCAGCAACCATATCGGCAGCTGTCACGGCCACCAGGATATCCTCCACCACCATGGCCAGGGTATCCTCCACCACCATGGCCAGGGTATCCGCCACCGCCCTGGCCAGGGTATCCACCTCGGCCAGGGTAACCGTATTTGGCATCTTCTATGCCGTTCGCCTTGTTGTGAGCTACATGAAATTTTTAACGGATCAAGAAAAAGTTACAAGTAAGATTTAATTGTCACGTTACTAATTCAAAGATATACAAAGCCCAAATGCATAAGAAAAAGGAATATATTTTGAATATAATAACCTCTTAATTTAAGATATTTGTGTGAAAAATGTCACAATACGTCAATATTTAGTTGTCACATTACTAGTTCAAATTACACTATTAACGCGACTATATAATTAAAAACTGGCAGATTGAATAGACGAGCATGTAAACAAAATACATAAAAACTCACCAGCATTGTTAGAGTCCACAGCCATCTCTCGGGCTGCTTCCCCGGCATATGCAATTGCGAAAACAACAGCCACAATGCATAGCACAAGTAAAGTTTTCGAAGCCATACTTAACTTTTTAGCTCGATCTCGATCTCGATCTCTATAACAATGAAGGGTGTATATGTAGAAGAGATTGTTGTGGATGCAAATATGAAGCTACGTTTGGTTCCTTTTATAGGCAAATATGCTTGCGGTGGGAAAGACAGGAAGTCGGGAGCCATATGAACAAGGAATGGGATGTCTGAATTGTACAGTTTTTTTTTTTTTTTTTTTTTTTTTTTTTTTGACAATAGCAATGAATTGTACAGTTGTTATTTAAATGTTATAAAATTTAGGAGAATTATTTGTTTTTGTCAGTAACAATAGGGGATAAATTAAATTATCTATACAAGCATCGTATAATATTAAAGGACGTTGTTACGATATATTTTTATGCATGTGTTATTCAATTATCTCATTACAAGTATTAAACACATGACCTTTGATATGGAAAGCAAGATTTTAATTCTCAATCTTATGCAAATGTTACGTACTTACGTTTTTATTCTGTCAAAAGATATTAAAGCTTTATACTTTGTACTTCATATTCACGTAATTAATTTGATTAGTCCATAAATGTATTTATAGATTTTATACATAGAAATGATGGGCCATTGTGCTATACTGTTATATATAGTCCAATAATATTAGGACTATTACGAGTAACAATTAAAATTAGTCGTCGGCTATATATATGATACAGTCGTACATTTTGTCCCCACTTATATTTACCAAATTGGATTAAGTAGAAAAATTTCCTTAGGTCTCAGACTGATCCTATACAAAACGAACCAACAATGTCAAATTGTCAATAACTAAATAATTTGCAAAACCAAGCATGGCATAGTTCATTTTGATTATTGTATACACCATACAAAACCCAAAAATTCACCATTTTTAGAATCAAGCTTACCATTTTATTTTATTTTTTGTGAAGAATGTCTCAACTTAACATTAGAAAAATTATACATTTATACGTACTAAAAAGTTATGTGAAATATTTAAAAAGTTAAGATAGAAAATCTAAAAAAAAAATCCCACATGATTATTTATTTTTCTTGCATAGAAGGATTAGAAGGTGCAAGTAAAAAAGAAAGGAGGATGTATGTAGAGCAAAGTTACAATCATAAACTCATAATGCATTTCAGAGTTCACAAGGTAATCCTGGACAACAAAGTTTTTTCACTGTTAAGCAAGAACACGCCCCAATTTCACCTGGGATTTGACCAAATTACAAAGACGGCCAAGGAGCCAAATTGCTAAATCTATCTTAATGCTTACCAAAGCTGAAAGCAAACATCATACGGTTCTTGCAAAATCGATCTTCCAAATTATGAGACCAAGAAACACTTGCTACATCGTGTAACAAGATATGGGCATCACAGACATTCCTACATTTCAAACACTTGATAAAAAGCAATCTCTGCCAATTGCTGTGGAGCTCCTAAGCCCACACAATCGGAAAAGATCACTATCATTAAAGGACAAGCTGAGATTTAACCTAAGTTAAAGAGTTTGCTGCAATTTCTTTCAGACAAACAGCCAATAGACCAGTAAAACCAACTAGCAATGACTCTCCTAAAGAACAAATATGTTCTTATTCGAAGAAAAGCTATACAACTAAAAACATAAAGGGCACCAGTGTTCTCCCAGTATCCAAATTATCACACATATACCCACTCTATTCACAGATATCAATGTAACTAAGTTTTGCTGTTGTAAATCAATTTGCAGAGAGAAAGATCAGGTAGCAACAGCTAAATCAGATGGACGTGCAGAGCTGCTAGATTCACCTGTCGCAATTACACCCTTTGCAGTTGAGTACTCACTCGAAGAAGCAGGCGTCTCGGGGTGTTTGATATTCAAAGCATCAGGAATATTATCAACAGCCTGGACATAGATAGAACAGTGACCAAAGTTATTAATAGGCTGAGAAATGCTTGTATTGTTCTGTTGTAATGCAATTAATTTTTTTTTTTTCAAATTTATATAATGAAGTAACAGAGACTTGTAATAATGCAAGCAAAAACAAGAGAAATACCTCTAAATGGGTCAGCATGTCAACTGCAGAATCTAGGTCACCGCTATTAACATAATAGACATCAGCAATAGACTGATCAGAAACACCAGGAAACATCATTTGTAGATAAGCTAGGTCCATTTCAGACTCTTCATCCATGAATTTGATGTCTGTTTCCTGAGAACATTCGGAAGATACACCATCAGCAGCATTCTTCAACTTGTTATCATCCTTAGTAGGGAGACCAACCACACTAACAGCATTCGGAAGGGTCTTAGGGCCATTATGCTCATTTACCTCTCGCTTGGAGATTGGTACATATGAAGCAGCGTTTGGATTCAAAGACGATGTGCTTGATTTCATCATGGCAACTTGCAGGAAAGTGCTGCAGTAAAAGCAAAAAAACACATCAACCGAGGCCACTTACACTTAATGCCCAACGATGAGCCACGTCACATAAAAAAAGGTTGATTCTGTGAAATTATTGGCTAATAACTAACTAACAATACAAATTTCAAACTTCCATTTCTGCAGAAAAGAAATATGCAATATTGTTATAACTTTTAACAACTGTTATACCCGTTCAACGATACAGAACAGAATAGTCAACACGACAAGAAAGAATTCCTATGACACATTTCTTTTGATCCAAAACACAAGTCGTTCTACAATATCAACACAACATGAAATGTCACTATATAACATTAATGTAGCATCGTATTCCATGTTATATTACCAATGCAATACTAAATTCCACTATACAATAAGAATGTACTTTCAACTTTTACAGAGTTCTAATTTCTTATCATGTCCAAAGTAACACAAATCAACTTAAGCGACTTGTTTCTTGGATTAGAAAGAGCAGTAAACTTCTGAAACGAGCTCCGTAACAAACATTATCACGCACAAAGGCTACGAGTCATCAAACTGCCGCGACAACATTCGAGTGGATACCAAATACCAAAACAAGTCAGCACGCAGGCCATATTTTCTTTAAGCAAGTAATATTCCCCAGAATGTCAAAAACAGAACGACGGCGTTAATTCCAGCTAAAAAGTAGGTATTCATTAGGTAGCAAGTATTAATACACTAGCTACTCCACAAAAACATTAAAATACTCTTACCAAATTAAACCTAGCTTTAAATTCCCAAAATCAATCTGTTTCTCACCAATGTAAATAAGGGCAGCATAAAATTAATCCAATAACTCAGCAGAATAGCTCATTTCCAGTCAAATTCAACACAGTTAATCGCAAAACAAAGATACAATCAACAATTAATCGACAATCAATAGCAACAAAAAGCAGAAACAATGATCAAACAACAAAAGATCATTCATACAATCATACATATATCTAAATAACCAATCAAAAATAGACAAAAATTTCAAAATAAAATAAAAAAGAACTATCATACCAAAAACAAAATTCAAAGTCAATCGTTAATCAAAACAAAGATAGTTCAAAGAATGATGAACAACGATAAAAGATAATAAAGAAAAGAGAGAAAGTACTCACAATAATTCGATTGATTGATCGATCGAAGAGAAAAACAAACCCTAGAAATGAAGAGATGATTACGATTGATGATCGAAGATGAAAAGGTAGGAAGGTCTTTAAGAGAGAGAAAGAGAATAATGAAGGTACTTTTATTCCTGGAATTCTCGTACTCCGCAAATTTATAAGGGGGTAGATTCTGAGAATAATGGTAACCGTTTGGCTACTACACCATTTTATTATTTTTACCACCATTTAATTTTATTTAATTTAATTACATAATTTTATTAACCAACCACTAATCCATTTTATTAGCATGATGTGGATGTCATATATTTTTACAAATTATTGGTATTTGGCAACCACCTCAACATAACACACCCGACATACTCTAAATAAAATTTTAAAAAGCGTAAAAGTTTTGTGTGGAATGGTTTTGCGCTTTTACGTTGTTTTGATTTGATATTTTTAGATTAAATTTTTGTTTTATGTTGTTATTGTTTCCATACCTGGTAATGAGCTAGATTTTATCCGCGTAATGCACCGATTAAAATTTTTATTTGGATTGAATTTTATAAACTTTTTTTTTCTTCTCAAATTGTATCTTTAAATATAGAAATTACTTGTATATATTTTTATTTTGAAAGAGTATTTTGATGCAAATCTTGGACAGTAAAATTAAGGAGTCAATGAACACTAAGTAAAAGTTAATGCAACCCTTACAAAAATAATTTGTAAAAAATGGACTATGACATAAGTATGAAATTAAAATTAGTCGGTCTGGTTATGAATATAAACTAGTTAGGCTTCTAGCCCCTTTGATGCACATGCCATTACTTTTGGTTAATTTTCTTAAGGTGTGTTGTTTGTTAATGTTATGTATAGGTATTCATGTGAAAATTAAAATGTCGCCATAGAGATAATAATAAAAAAAAAAAGAAAAAAAAGAAAAAGAAAAGTAGCCATGACCAATTTAAAAACAATTTTTTAAAAAAGCAGCATAACAGAATGATACTCTTAACAACTCATATCTTGAAATTTTCTCAACACATTTTTTTTTCAATATATTAGTAACTCTCGTCTGTATCACAAATTAAAAGTGGTTTTCTAAAATGTACATGGAAGTGTCAGTTTACAACGTTAACATCATCAATATTCAACCCTAGTGCACAGCTTCACAGCTACAGTGAAACTTGCAGAGAGGCTGTTAATAGGCACAATTCAGTCATTCCTATTTTACAAGCAACACAATGAGTATGCATCAGTAGCCAACTCGCTACCAAATTATCAACAATGGCAACATCCGACTCGGGTTATATACTTATATGCCTACATGGATTGCAATCCGGCACCCAATCCAGTCTGGCCACCATGTCAACCATATCACCATCACCCATGCTTTCCGTTTCACCACCTAAACCACAGCAAGTGGGTGTACCCTCTCTCCAATAAGCAAGGAGTCAAGGACATTGATACGATGAAATCCCATATTTTAAGCAAACCAAATCTAATGAATTGGGTCTTCAGAAATTTCTGCAAGAAAGCAGCATTGCATGGATTAAAATGAGTTGACCAGCATAAAGAGACGGGTCAAGAATTTGCAGTCACAGCCATAATTGCCCAGTCTTACAGAAGATATGAATGAACATTCCCATAATCAGCAATTAGCCCCTCAACGCTGTCAAGAAATCACTTCAATGGTCATCTTCGTTTAGTCCAGGGCAGTTGGAGTCGGAGAGGAGAGCTTCCATGGATTCATACTGAAATTAAGGTAGGTAAATTTCAGGGGTTAGCTATCAAATGATGCAACTTACAGTTTGCCTTTTAATTGTATGAGTAACAATATTAATATTGAAAAGGCCTCACAGTGATTTAGGCACACTCCTGACATCCACAAAAGAGGCAATAGTGATGTTCTTCTCTAAGCTTCTCCAACAACTCTAGCAAATCCTGTATCAGATACACCAGAACTGTCATTTAGTGGATTCATATAGTAAAAAAGAAATAACTGTAACACACCATCCAAACAACCATGAATAGAGGCTTTTCATTTCAGACATACACGAGGCAAGAGGAAAAAAAAAATCAGCCATATAATTTTATCAATTGCAGACATTAAGAATCATAGCAGCCCTGGTAAGTAGCACTCTCAGGCATAGCCTAAGCTACATGTGAAAACGAATTTTATCAATTGCAAACATTACGATTCATTAATGATAATAGACTTTGTCAAAAAAATAAAATAATAATACACTATATCAATGATACTTAGCAGATCACTGACATCGGTATGCAGAGCCAAACGAGTCACAAATGCAAGCGTCAGGCATAATTTGAAACTCAAATCAACTTAACACAATAAAATACTCAAATTTCAGGCATGAGCATGACTTTTCTTTCCACAACTAGCCACACCATGGCTTGTGGCAGTCAGTAGAAAGATATGGGAGTCAAGAACAAAGAGTAAGTTAAAAAGGAAGATGCAGGAATCCATCTAAAGCAAAATGTAAGGTGTATTATCAATTTAGTTCTTTTTTAACCATTACACTTTTAAAAATTGTATTTACTTATGATTCGACTCTTGTACTTGAGTTAAAACTTATTTAGCCAAAACTTATTCCAAACTAGAAAATATTTTTCTAGCACCATATAGTCATGGACTAACTTTCCATTACACCTATTAACAAGCTGTAAGCTCCATCCAAGTCATAATACAATTCATAAATTCTATACTAGGGTTGTCCCAAAATTATTATCGTCTTTCCCTGACTATAGCATGTCACTCTCCTTTAATGGCTTCAACCTAACAACCTTTTATTACTTTTGCAGGAGATTATTTTCATAAAACTCACCCAATTGTCAAAGGATCACTAATCTACAACGATGCATTTAACCTTTATTTTAGCATGGTGCAAATTAACTGCCAATAACAAGGTGAAAACAAATTAGACTCAGAAAATGACCTAACTCGTTGAAATTAAAACACGCTTAGCCATTATCAAAATTCGAAGTTGTCTGAGTCATGATACGAAATGTTCCTGCAACATAAATTAGGACGACTCACAAATCTAGTGCAAGTGCTTCATATGCTGCTTGAAAACACTTGAACAGGCTGAAAATCTATGTAGCTCACTACAACGGCGCTTTGTTTAGCCAAAACCAAGAAAGGCTAAAGCTGAATATCTAATTACTCGTGATAATCAAGGTCCATAAACCTCAAAAAAGTGTAATAATCACATCTTTTCGAGCCCTGCCATTTGTCTAAGCTCAGAACAGTAGGATTTCTTACACTGTCAAGGTTACTTTTTTTTTACCCCTAAATATAGTGCTCCCTAAATCATATTGGGACTAAGGCTTTATTGTTGTTGTAAATATAGTGGTCCCCCCGTATGTAGCCAGCCAATCATTACAAAAACCTCTCCAACTTATTCATTCTTTCCATTTCAAAATCTAGAACTCAATCAATAATCCAGCACAAATGAGTGTATAGAGCAGATCTACCACATCAACTTGCCCAATTCCTTTTTCTAGTAATTGGCATCATTGAAGCCTTAACCTATGTCTTCTAGAGCAGATCTAATTGTTCACGAGTTTATGAAATCATACATCTCAAGGCCAGCCTGAGTCTTACCATATCCATTAACATTGGATATTTTGGAGACATGACCTGGTAATGATGGATGTCAAATTATGACAATCTCCCTAAGCTTTGGGTCACAACTTGAAAGTTGATTATAAAATTTATAACTAAACCCTAACAATGGATTTTGCAGGTATTATGATTTCTTCCATTCTATAAGATACAAATATATACATTAGATACACTCCCAAAAAAAATGCATGAATGAGTAAACTACCTTGTTCTAACAATCATTTCTCTCACATAACTACATGAGAAATGAAAAATTTTCACAGTGATGAACTAGATACTCTGATGTCTATGAAATCCTTTCCCTGCATGTGGTTCCCGCAACTTTACAGTTTACACCCTCACATTGATGGGAAATTTAGGAGAGGAGAAAAGACATAACATGCATTTCAACTGAATTACACCAGAGTACCACACAGATCAAAATCCCCCATCATCATATAACCATACATTTTAATCCTCCGGACCATGAGTCCACAGCTACAAACCATGTTAAAAGAAGTTACAGCCACAAAAAGAAGCCACAAACCAAACTCTTTTCAAGTGAACCAGTTATTCATTATATAAAAAAGATTGATCTGTTATTCTTATTAAAGAAAAATCAAATGAATCAGTTATTCCATTCCCTTTCGCCTAACACAGAACTAAACATAGAATATGTGATTAACCCAACAACACATGATATACTCACAAAGTATCCTTCAGGATCCAACAGTCATAGATAGAACCCGGTCACAATTCACATAACTCCATGTGTAGAAATTAAGGAAAAATTCCAAGTGAGATTCAAGTAAGGATATCAGCAATACAATACAAGAATACCTACATAAACCAAATCGCTTATAGTCTTCACCCAACTAAGCTTATGAAAGTGAAATAACAAATCCACTGCAAGATGGTAATCATTATGGCTAATCGGCTTTCACCAAAACTAAAGATTTATGTACACTTAAAAGTGGAATGTCTTTGCACATATAATGTTCCTAGCTTAATAGAACAAGGATACAAGTATGATAGAAGAACACGGATCCTAACCAAAAACAGATATCTTAAAAACATTAAACCTTAAAAGTCTTCACCCATTTAATTTATAAAAAGCAAATAACAATGTCTAAACAACATCAATTTAGAGGGTGGACTGGTGGAGGACAGCCACACCGCGATAATTTGCACCAAAAGGTCCTGTAAAATCATTGCAATTTCGACTCTGCAAACTGGCATTCAAATTTTATTAAGAAAACAAAATGTTGGGCAATATCAAACAATATAAGATGACAAATTACTCCACTAAATATAAATCATGAACACAAGAGAATAACCATTAAACACAAACAGCTCAAAATTCAACAACTAATACCAACAAATATAGTTCCAATAAAATATAGCTCTTCAGTAATAACTTCCTCTTACTCCTCATCATCCCCATCATCACCTTCCTCTTTCTCCAACATTCCTGTCCTCGACCGGCGTATCTCCAACCCAATTGGCTCCTCTCGACCCACTGAACCCTCCTTTCCTAGCCCTTTTCTTGGGGTATACCCCATTT